TAACAGCTACTATTAAGAGAAAAGCTTCCTATGCATGGAAGTCATTGTTATATGGAAAGGATCTAATCACTAAAGGGTTGAAATATATTGTCGGAGATGGTACTTTTGTTAATATGTGGACTGATCATTGGATTCCAGATCATCCTCCTAGATCACCAAGGTCTTTAATAGATAATGTTCAGAATGACAAGGTCAGTGCCTATTTTAATGAAACAAGAAGTGGTAGGGATGAGGAAAAGTTGCGGCAATTTGTGGTACAAGAAGATGTTGAGCGCATACTTGCTATCAAAATAAGTCCAAAGGCTGTCACTGACCTACTAGGGTGGCACTACAATGATGATGGGATCTACACAGTCAAGTCGGGATATTGGTTAGGAGCTCATCTACCAGAAAATGATAATCCAATACCATCCCTGGTAACGTCCAATTGAAGAATACAGTTTGGAAAACAAAACTACCAGCCAAGATAAAACATTTTCTATGGAAGTTGCTTTCAAATAGTCTTGCCATAGGAAGTAATCTGAAACGAAGACATGTGACTCAAGATGATAAATGCCGGAGATGTTGCACAGAACCTGAAACAGAAGACCATCTTTTCTTTGAATGCTATTACGCTAAACAAATATGGAGAGAATCAGGGTTTACAAATGGGATTATTGCAGATACTAATGCTACTCTGGAGGAGAAAATAGAAGCATGCCTGCAAAGCTGTTCTACTATAAGGTTAGCCCATTTTCAAGAACTTCCTATATGGTTACTTTGGCGACTCTGGAAAAGTCGAAATATACTTGTCTTTCAACACAAGCAAATACACTGGAAGTCTACTCTAAAGTATGCACGTGATGATGCGTCTGAGTGGAAACACATTGGCAATACAACAAATACTGAAGAATCTCAGATGCGGAGAGGACACCGATCTCACGATATAGGAACTTGGAAAAGACCACCAAGAAATTGGATTAAATGTAATGTCGATGGAACATATGTTCAGGAAGATGGAAGAAGCAATGCAGGCTGGATATACCGAGATGAATTTGGGGTGTATAAAGGAGCATGTCAAGCACAAGGTAGAAGAGTAATGAATCCTTTAGAGTGTGAGCTTCAAGGTATACTAATGGCACTACAACACTGCTGGGTTATGGGATATAAGAAGGTTGTCTTGGAAAATGATTGTCAAAAAGCAATAGCGATCTTACAAGATAAAGCAAGACATTTCAATCTCTATAACTGGATCAGAGAGATTAAAATGGTGGTCAACAAGGTTTGAGGAAGTTCAATTTCAATGGATTTCAAGAGGAGCAAACATGTGTGCGGATAGCTTAGCGAGGAATAATGTTATACAGGAGTTGCCTTTTGTGTTTCATAATTACGTTCCACATTTATTAGTTCAACATCTTCACAAAGATTATGTAAACTCAAGTTATTAATTAATAAAAGTATGATGTTATAAAAAAAAAAAAAAAATTAAAAAAATATTTATATAAATTTCATCACAGCATAAATTATTTATACTACATAAAATAAATTTTAAAACACACATGTATACGTAAAATTATGTATAAAAATTATATAAGTTTATATTTTAAAATAAATTTATGATATAAAATTATTTTTAACACAATATAAATTGTTTCTATATCAAACTAATGATATTCATTTTTAATTTATGGTTTGTAATTTTAATAATTTGATATTCACTCAGGTTAATAAAGATTTTATAATACAATATAAACTATTTTCAGTAATGACAATTATCAAATTATTCAAATTCGTTTTTGATATATGGTTAATTATATATTAATTATTTATTAGTGATAGTCTATACTTTAAACGCTCTAATTTTTTATCGTGAGATCGAATGCAAAAATTACTTGCAAATAATAATGTAGATTAAAATATATATTTATTTTATTCAGTTAATTTATTTGTTTTGAATCATATCAATTTGAACATTTCATTAAATCTTAAAAGAACAAATAAAGTTGAAAAGCATATAATCATATAATATATAGTATCACCTAAAATTTTAATATGATTGATACCTAATAGTGTTTCAAAAAAGATTATATATATATTTTTATATATATATATCAAGTGTATATTTTATATATTTTGGTATCGAACTTATAATGAACTAGGTGTTTTGCCCGCCATGCGGGCTTAAGCCTTTTATAATGATTTGTTAGTAAATATATAAATAATAAAAAATTAGAAGCATAAATTATTAATTGTGTTTACATTTTGAAATTTTTTATTTAGCTTAAAAATTATTCAATATTATCTTTTCAATTATATAAAATTAAGAATTTTAATTAATTAATATGTATTTGAATTTTTAAATATTTTATCAAAAGATAGTTTTTGGATAACAATACAATATATATAGGAATTATCTTTTAAAAATAAAATATATTTTTAGATTTTGGATAACTCTTATTGTTATTATTTAAATAACTTATCTAATTAAATAAATTTAAATTCTTTTTTTATATTTAATTAATTCATATAATTTATTCATTAAGAGTATAAATGATATTAACAGCTCCAACTTTTAACGTGGGAGTTCCGTTGCGAAAAATCACTTCGCAAATAATAGTATAGATAGATTTTTAAATATTTTATCAAAAGATAGTTTTTAGATAACGATACAATATATATAGGAATTATCTTTTAAAAATAAAATATTTTTAGATTTTGGATAAATCTTATTGTTATTATTTAAAATAAATTATCTAATTAAATAAATTTAAATTCGTTTTTATATTTAATTAATTCATATAATTTATTCATTAAGGGTATAAAAGAGGTTTAGATAAATATAAAGTTAAAATCATTGAAATTTGTTTTTCTTAAATTTGATTTTTCAAAAAAAATAAATTTATTATATTAATTATTCTTAGTTATCTAAGATAATAACATACTAATCTAATTTTATTTTTTTTTAATTTCGTTTTCAATTATAAAATTAGTTATATATAAAAAATTCATTAAGGGTAAAATTAATTATATATTAATAAATATAAATATTTTTCAAGGTTGATAAAGACTTTATCACATAATATAAAAAAATTAATAAGGATAATTATCAAATAAATAAAATTCGTTTTTAATTTATAATTAATTATATATTAACTAATATAATTATTTTTCAAGGTTAATATAGACTTTATAACCCAATATAAAAGAGTTTTAGATAAAGATAAATCTAAAATCATTGAAATTCGTTTTTCTTAGTTTTGATTTTTTTTTTATAAATTTATTATATTAATGATTCTCGGTTATCTAAGATAATAACATACTAATCTAATTTTATTTTTTAAATTTCGTTTTTAATTATCAAATTAGTTATATATAAAAAATTCATTAAGGGTAAAATAGATATTAACCGCTCTAACTTTTAACGTGAGAGCTCCGTTGCGAAAAATCACTTCGCAAATAATAGTATAGATTGGTATAATTTTTTGGACATTTTTTTTTATTCACTTTTATTATTCATACGTATATTAAACTACTGAATTCAGTTAAGCCATCTAAATTCGCATTTGTTTCACTTAAGTTTTATTCCATTAGATCAGCAACGTTTTAAGAAATAAATTATTGAAAGCCATATATGTCTTTTCTCGCTAGTCGCTACTGATTCTTTTCAGTAATACAGTTCTACAAGAAAAGAAGAAATGTGGGCGCCATCGTCACTGATTCGGTCTTTTGAAAAGGATAACTTGCGCTGCCTTGCCGTCGGTGCCGCCTTGCTCTTTATTTAATTTTTTGGTAATTACTACTCCAAAATATTCAGATCTATCCACGTGGATAAAAGAGTTGAATCTAGCCATTGGATCTACACGGGAATCACGAAGAGATAGTTTCTTTTGCCCTTTTGATTGACGAGTTGGGGAACAAGCATCCAATCAAACCTATCATCCTTACTCCTCATTATGAACCCGCTTTCTTCCACACCCATACGGCGCCGTTTCTGCTCGACCCACAACCTTTACTATTTTCCTAACATCAATTCATCTTACACCAACATCATTACTTTCACAGAGATACATTTACGGTCATAATCAAAACCAAAGGAAGAAAAGAAAATTCTTACTAACCAGCCATATCCATATATGAAAAGAATAGGCGAAAATATATAATTTATATGATGATTAATGCCTAGTTTAACAGGGGATTAGTTTAAGAGAAAATGACTAGAATATATCTAAAAAAAAATTTGTTACAAATATAAACCTTAATAATTAAAATGATCAAAATAGCACTTAAATGTTTGATTAAATTTACATTTTATCCCTTGGGTTAACTAATCATAAATTTTTTTTAGAGTTGAGGAGTGACATGGGATAGGGTTTCAATTTTTTTTTTTAAAAAAAACTTAATATTTTCAAAATAAAAAATGCTATTTTGATCATTTTAATTTTTGAGATCTATTTTTGTGATAAAAATTTAAAAATGGGCTATTTAAGAAAATTTCCCTTAGTTTAACAGGGGTATATTTAATGATGTCGTGTTAGTCCAACTCATTTCAGAATCCACTCATCTTGTTAACAATAGTTAGTTAATATAAGTATCAGCGGTTAATCTTGATAGGATGGCATTGTTAAAAGGATATTCATATTATAATAGAAAAACATATTGCTGGTTGTTTCTTAAAAGATGCTTTTACTCAAATGGAAAACTTGAGAAAATAAAATTACTCCTACCTTGTCGACAAAAAAAAGTGTCCTCATACCTTCTCATTTTGTCTGGTATTGTTAAACTTATCTTTTGACTGAGGATCTATCAATTTAAAAGTCTAGGTTCTCTCTGTCAGAACCTAAATGTTACTAATATTTATTTTTCAAAGTTAGCCAGAAGTAGAAGAGAAGGATTATTAAGTTCGTACTTTGTATGCAGACCCTAATTGGTGACGTAAACACGAATTATTTTCTCGGATATACGCCGCAGAGAAAAGGGGCTCCACACACGTCGGCTGCGTGTCTGCTGGAACATTGTATCAACTCTCTCTCTATATATATATACGATTTTTGCAAATTAATTTAAGATTTTTTAGAAACCAATGCCAAGAGAAAAACAAGTAATTTTATCCCAATATGTCTTTAAATTATAGTATATATTACAGCTCTGGTTATATTTACGATTTATGCCAAACCATTGCCTAAAATAACTAAATTAATTTAAGAATTTTAATAAACCAATGCAGAGAGAAAAATAAGTAATTTTATCCCAATAAGTCTGAAAATTAGATGAACATAATTGAGAAGATGACATGTAATTGGGCTTTGTTTCTAAAGCAAAGATGACAAAAACTTATGAAGATGATCAAATTATTGATATTAATTATGAAATAACAAAATTAAAGGCTACAGAGGAAACAACATGGTGAAACCAAGTCGCAAAAAAGCACACAACAAAAGTTCAGATCTCCAGTTATGTAATAATATGTACATAACGATCCATGTCAGCTAAAATTATATTCTTCTCTCCCGATTTAAGTTTTTTTTTAAACCGATAATAATTATTCTAGAATGAGAGGGGAAAAAAAACTACGAGGAAACAGATTCTCTCAGCTCCCAAACGAAAACACCGCATGCGCGTCGTCAATGAACACGACCACGACCATAAGTTCAGGCCTGTTCCGACGGAGGAAACAAGTTTAGATCTAGATCCAACGGCTGAGATCTCTTCTCCATCACACCATCAAAATCAACAACCGACGACGAATCAGAGTCGCTCTGAGCCACCTTTGTAGCTACATGCATCGCCGGTGACCTAAAAACCGACGTCACCGGAGCCTGAGCACGACCTCCGTTGCCGACTCCCATAACGTCCAAGAAGTAAAGAGGACGCGCCATCGGGATCTGATAGCCGCCGAGGCGAAGCTCGAGCTGCGGCGGAACAATCTCAGCAATCGCCGGAGTGACCATCATCGGAGGAGAAGGGCAGTCAAGGGTGCTGCTCTGGCTAGGGCTACGCTCGAAAGCGCCGCCGGCAGCCGGAACCTTCTCACTCAGCTCGAGAAAATTCGGGAAATTGGTCTTAGCCTTGGCTCCACGGAAATCACGCGCCGCCGCATCGTAAGCACGCGCCGCCTCTTCAGCGGTATCGAAAGTACCGAGCCAGACCCGGGTTTTCTTACCCGGATCTCGGATCTCAGCGGCATAACGGCCCCATGGCCTCTTCCTAACGCCTCTGTAACGAATCTCCTTGGCATTATTGTTAACCGGGTCGGGTTTCAAACCAATCTTGGCCATAACTAAAATAACGGAGGAGAAGGGGAGAGAGGAGTGGTGTGATAATTGAAGATGGAAGAGGAAGGGAGGTGTGTTGTTTATATATAGGTGGAGAGAGAGTAAAAGCAACGCTCCTTTTGGGGCGCTTTGTTGTGAACGAACAGTCAAAGCCTGAAATTGGTTTTAGCGGCTTCTCTTACAAGAACAGCGGTTTTCATGGTTTTCTTCTTATCCTCCACTTATCCCTTGCGACGTGTGTCTTTGTCCTCCTTCAAGATTCCTTGTTTTTTTAACAACCCTTCGTTTTTGTTTTCTTTTTTACCACCAAGCGTTTTCATTTTTTTCTAACTCATGCTGTATTGAAATGTACGCAAATACATTCAATAAAAATATAGACATATACTAACATGTTTTATGTATCTTTTGTTTCATGTAATATGTTACATTGATTTGAAATCAATAAAGTTAAAATGTTATAAAAATATATATATAGACATATACTAACAAAATACATTCGTGGAATATATATCTTTTCATTTAAGTGTTGCATATTCTAATAGTGATATAATTAAATTACTCTATCTTTGCATTCAATTTTTTTTATTAAAAAAATCTTACAATTGAACATATTTGATCAATACATATTTAGAGCTATTTATCCTGTCGTGGAAAATTAATCAGTGGAAAATCTTAAAATCTTTAGTATCTTTTATGTTCATAAATGTTTGATGTTAGAGTAACATTGATTCATTTCCTAACCACGAGTATCATTACTTAAAATGAAAATCTATCTCATGTAAACAAAAAGTGATACAATGGCAGTATAACAAAGGAAACCAGGAAAATATATTACGCATTTAATGGAGACCCATGGAGCTTGCTGTTTGCCCACACAATGAATTTCCGTAGACTCGTTAATTCTTTAAAATTTGTGATCAAAGGAATTAAAATGCAATCCCATATCTACATTTATTTATGAGCTTAATTAATTATACTCTGAACTTGAATGGTTTTGTGCTGGTTGCTCTCGTGGTTTAATATTTAAAAGTTTGTTTCCTTACAAAAGATAGATATATAAGTAGAATTAACTTGTACTGCTGCATTTGAATTTGCACACTTAGGCTTAGTTTAAATTGTTTCAAATAAGTTTATTGTCACACAATATACAAACACATAATTTTATCCAAAATATGAGTATTTATGCTACAAATTTGATAAAAGAAACCTAAATATTTGTTTGTTGTTTCATTTACAGAATAGATAACTTTGCCAGCCAATATCAAAGATCTAGCTTTCGAAAACGAGAGATTAAGCATTGGTTATTTTCATTTCTTCTTGAAAATATTTTAAAACGAAGCTGGTGCATCTAATTCATAGCTAGAAGTATCTGCAAAACTAGGAAATATTAGGTACAGCCAGATATGACAAAAATAAATGCGAAAACTTGGAAATAAATTTGCAGCTGAGCCTGTCAAAATGAGAGAGAAACCATATAACGCAAAAATTCGAACGTGTGGCAACATCTTGAAGATGCGCGGCATAGAAACTGCGTTTCCATGTAAACGCGTGAACTTACCGTCAAACACGTGCCGACGGCGATCGCGTGAAAAGTGCTATGGGTGACTTCTTCAACTCAACTCTAATTCAACGTTAATTTTGACTCTTTTATCTATTTTTTTTTTTGTTAAACATAAAGATAAGTTATATAGCCGCCCCTCTTCCAAAAACTTATTAAAAGGCAACAAGGCCCCACTAGTGCACTCACTAAATAAAATAGTTAATCGATTTAAAAAAAGAGAAATCTATAGTGCCACACGGTCAATAAGACGCGTGGAGAACGATCAGGAGACAAGGAGAGAATGGTGGCCGTGTTGGCTAGTCAAGATTCCCAATGTCGATGGGCCCACCATCTGTTCTTGACGGCAGGGAGATGTGTGATTAAGATTAAAGATCAGTTACTTAATTAAAATTATGGTTAATTTGATTTAATTATATTCATTGTTTTACTTTAACGACAGCTACATAATGTCTCCACTTTATGGATAATGGATTGGGTTTTCTTGGGCCATAGAATCTTCTGGATATGAGAATTAAAAATTCCATTCTTTAGAATAGTCTTTTATTTCTTTTAGAGATCTACAAAAACAATGGACTATTTAAGGTATTATTTAATTTCCACTAAAACTACCTATTTATTATATTCGGTTTGTATATTTAAAGGGACGTATTAGAAGAGTTTTTTTCATAAAACTTTCTGTTACCCATTCTAGAAAAAGAGTTAGAACTGTCCTTGAAAGCATAGATATTCTACAACAAAATTAATTGCTCAGTCATATATATATAAGTGATGATTGTTTATATCAATCTTATTATATCATAAACATTAGGACTATCCGTTCATTTTAGGTGAGTTTCGAGTATATCTGTTTACCAAAATATGAACTTTCTGTTTTGAAAGCGAAAAGAAGTAATTCCTCGTATATCACAATTCAACACTTTTTCATGGATATGTTGGTATATTTGGAAGGCAAAGAACGACAAAACTCTTTATGGAAAAGACGTATCTCCAATGGACACTCTTCAACATACATCTCTTAAGGTAGAAGGTTGAAGGAAGGCAAACGAGAAAGAGGAAATAAATGAGTATCATGAGGTACCTCCTAGTTCAGAGTCCCCTAGGATCCCCCAAACCCCTATATGCCAAATTGATGCATCATGGATCGATAATGGTAGTGTCAATGGTTTATGATGGAGTCTCAAGAATAAAATGAGTTCTGAATGGCTCGGATTACGGCCGTGTAGAAGGATTCTATGAGATCTGCATGCTGAGATGGAAGGCCTACTGTAGGCAGTCTCATGTATGACAGATTTGAGGATAATTGCGATACGGATTGAGACAGACTGCTCGGATCTAGTAGATATGTCCACTAGACCGGAGCACTAGCCGGCTTTCGCAATAGAGATCAAGGTGTTTCAGCGACTATGGGAAGATTTCGAGGATGTGAGTCTGTCTCATATTTTGTGGAGTAGAAATGAACGAACGGATGCACTAGCTAAAGAAGGAAGGAGTAGAAGCTATTCATTTTCTCATATAGATCAGACCCGACCAGAGGGAGTTTCTCCTTAGAGAATCGACTCGACTGGTCACCACTTGATCAAGAATAAATACGTGGCTGATAAAAAAAAAAAATTTAAAGTGACGTATTAAAAGAGTTTTTTTCATAAAACTTTTGGTTACCCATTTTAGAAAAAGAGTTAGAACTGTCCAAGAAAACATAGATATTCTACAACAAAATTAATTGTTCACTCATTTATATATAAGGGATGATTGTTTATATCAATCTTATTAAATTAGAAATATTAGGTTGGACCTAACATTTATTTTGTAAGTTTTTAAATTAAATATATCTTTTTATTTTATACTTAAACATATATAAAATCACTAATACTTTTTTCTTTATACTACTATCCATACTTCCAAAATAATATATATATTTTTTATAATACTATCCATATTTCTAAACAATATATTCATTTTTTTATACTATTATCTATGTTTCCAGACAATACTATATCTAATCTTATGTCCAAAAAATATATTCATTTCTTTATACTACTATTCATGTTTCAAAACAACACTATACTTAATCTTTTCCAAACAATACAAAATATTAGATCTCATCCTTTAATAATTTCTCACAATTTTCTTTTAAATTATTTAGATAAAATAAAAACTCAAATTATATAAAACAATGAAAATAAACTTATTTTACAGGCTTAAATACTACATATCAGTTATCCATTGGTTCAATTAGTTAGTCTCGGGTTTTAGTGATTTTTTAAATATAGTTATTTCAAAAAATTAAAACTGAATTATCGGATCACCGGTTTAATAGGGGTTCAAGTTGAATTTAAAAATATTGATAAATACATAAGTTCTTCGAGATCACCAAAATATTTGTTAAGTTATTTATAAAACTTTTCATCATAAAATATTCCACGCTTGCAAAGTTTGACCAAAGTTAAGTTTGAATTTAACTTAACCGATAAATTAAAAGTCAAGACAAAAAGAATCTAGAAATTTGTATATTATTTTAAAAACTTGTGGATAAATATTGAGATCAAAAGTAACTAAACTCTCAACTTACTTTTTTCAATGCAAACCGTTAAATTTAAATTTGATTTGACACTTCGAACAACATACATAATTAGTGTTTTTACTGCACGTTTACATAAACATAATACACACCGCATAATGGTATTAATACAAAAGACAGTTTTATTGTTTTTAAACATAAAATTGATTGGACAAATTCAAAACTATATAAAACTAAATTATATAAAATATATTTGAAAAATAAAATCTGCGCGGATGCACGGATCATGATCTAGTGTTAATTACAACAGTTTTCATATGTCACATGTTGCTTTTAAAGGAATGAAATTTGAAACTTAGAAAGTTTGTGGAAATGGGAGGTAAATGTAAAATCTGAAATCTTATTTCAGCTACATAAGATGTGTCTTGAGAAGTGTTCATGAAGCCAAATATGATATGGAAAGATATCATTGCTTCTAAATGCAGGCCAGATGTTGTCAGCTACGAGAGAATGATTAATAATGCATTGACAAAGAAGGGGAAACTGGGAAAAGCCATGGAACTATACATAGCAATAACGTCATTGATGCAGTCAGAAGAGAATCCCAGAGTCATTGAGTTGTAATGGTGCGAGAGCTAAGAACTGAATCAAGAGCAAGCAAGATGATGAAGACAAAAAAAAGGGTCTGAAAGCGACTGAATTATACAAGAAGAAAACCAGATTCAATTTTTAAATGCAATTTTCACATCTTCCATATGATCTTATAACAAAAAAACAATCTTAGTCCATGTTCTTTAGGCAGCCATGGTCACAGCTTCTGCTGATGCTGTGTCAGGGACATACCAACCGTGGTGGATCTCAACGGCCTTTTTCCTCCTAGCCAACCGAGACTTCCTACGTGCACCAGTGTTCTTGTGTAGCGCTCTAACTTTGACCGCTTTGTCTATCGCAGAATAAGCCTCTCCTATCAGTTTCTCCACGGTTACAATCTCATCTGGTTGCGCTTCTGTTTTCTTCTTGAGCCCATCTAGTGCTTCCAAGACCTGTTTATTATATGTCACAAACTAGAATTTACTCTCGTAATATCTATGGAATGAGATGGACAAGGATGTAAAAACATATTATTGCAGATGTTGAAGATAATGAAATGGTTTCTAAACTATCAAAACTCTTAGAACCTTCCTCAAGTTCTAACAAACACATCTTATTCTCCTCAACAATGATGATGACTAATCCACCCACAAGCCCACCTCACATTATCCACATATCCCCCAATATGAATCAAACTAGTCACTAGCTTGAAAACATTCCCTAAACACTTTGGTCCAACATTGTAAATTTGTAACACAAAGTGAAGTGAAGCGACGAACACTATAAATAATGAGATTACCTTCTTCATACGAGTACGGGCTTCAGATTTCTTAGATTTATTGTAAACACGCCTTTTCTCGGCTTGGCGAGCTCTCTTTGCAGCTGAATCAGCCTTCTTCGTCGGAGCAGCCTCACACACAATCAAAGGCCTCACAGGCTTCTTCTGTACCAACAAATTCCCTGTAGAGAACACCTCAAAGTTTCAAACTTTTAATATTCTAAAACCACTAGAGAAGTTGCCTCTAACGAAAACATAAGAGGACTAATCAATGCAAAAACGTTACTAGGAAACTAAAGTCACGATTCTGAAAAAAGGGGTTTACCGGAAGAGGAGAAGGCGACACATTGAGAAACACTCTGAGAGAAGCTGAGAGAGGAGCAGACAGTAACCGATGCACCACGACGAGTGGAGAAGGAAGAAGCTGGAGATGATGAAGAAGAAGAAGAAGAAGCTCCCTTAAGTGAAAGGACTTTGAATTTGGAATTGAGGGTCGCACAGGAAGAAAGACACTGGACTATTGTCGCCATGGATTTCTATTACTACCGAACTCAGAACTCTCCTCTCTGGTCTCCTATATGATGTCTCTGTGTTATCCAGAAAGAAAGAGATGATGTTTCCAACAGCAATTGACCCTTTTACCCCTTGTTGTATGTTTAGACTCTCTCGGGCCTAAGGCCCATGAAATATAGTGAACAGCCCATCAGTTTATCCTAAAGCATAAAGCTTAAAAACAACATTCCGAAACGAAATTAAGTTGCTGTTTTAAACGTTTTTTTAAGTTTTTCTATGTGTTTTTCTGTGTTTCAGAAAAAGACGCAAGTTATGTCATTAGAACCCTTCGGCCATCATGACATCTTGTCGTGCTTCTCTGTGCTTCTATGACATCTACGGTCAACTTCGAACCGCTTCTTGCAACAATGAAAGTAATTGAACATGTGGGCGGATAGGAGTTCTAATTCATCATAACCTTTTCACCAGTTTTTAGACGGGGAGGGTCATCAACAAAATTACTACACAAGAACCAGTGTGTGAGGAGTGGGCGGATAGGAGTTCTAATCGGTTTAGTAAAGTTGTGTTCAAATCCTAATAAAGTTGGGTTTTGAATGATGTCGTTTTCTACTTCTCTTTGGCTCTGTTACCTTTCTTTAGATGTCTAATTTTTTTTGGTCTTGTTTAGCGACATCATGGTTTTGTGTTGCTTTGTTTAGATTCCATATATTTGTCGCATGTTGGCTCCAAGGATTTATGTTCTTCCCGGTTTGGTTGGTGGAAACAATAGTATAATTCAGAAATTTATTATCAAGATAACAAAATATGCATTAGGAGTTAGCTATATCAAATGAAATATTCACCTTTTCAAAATCAGTCCCCATCTATTATATAAAGTAATGTATCTCTCCCTCTAAACACTGCCACATAGGTTGACATGTCATCAAGTCCACCTCAACATAAATGGGTCCCACATGGAAACTGTGTTTGCGTTTTGCGATTTTTTTTGTTAACTTTTGTGTTTGCGATTTAGATGTTACGTGTGCTGATTCATGAAATGGGCTCCTGGCAATACTCTTATCTTTGTTTTCATAAAATTGGTGGCCCAATAACGTTAACATGAAATATTTTCGATGAAAGCCTCCTCCATTTCTTCTTCCTCTTCAATGAATTTTAGGGTTTCAATCGCTTCGGTGTCCTCTGAAATAGAAAGTGACCCTTTCAGTTTCCATGGAGCAGTGAACCTTTCATCTCAAATACATTCATCGCCTTCACAGATTATAACAAAACCGCCGTCCACCAAACCAACTAGACCACCACGAAGAACTGCCATCCTCCGGTAGCTGTGACTAAACTTCAACTGCGCTCTTGACAAGGCTATAACCCTCCTTTCGGGCACACAGTAAACCCACTGCTCTAAAACCTTTGAAGCTCATCTTCCAATATCTGACGAGTCTTCTCCGCCGTTCTCGAGGCAAATCAATCACGACACTCTCCCTTTCTTTATCTATAAAAGGGCAAGCCTTCGTACCCGTGAAATCATCCACGTAATCATTATAAGCTCTCTCTTTATCTCTCAGTGGTTTAATTTTCCTTCTTCTAACGGCATGATATATTTCATAAAGTAATGTATCTCTCCCTCTAAACACTGCCACATAGGTTGACATGTCATCAAGTCCACCTCAACATAAATGGGTCCCACATGGAAACTGTGTTTGCGTTTTGCGATTTTTTTTGTTAACTTTTGTGTTTGCGATTTAGATGTTACGTGTGCTGATTCATGAAATGGGCTCCTGGCAATACTCTTATCTTTGTTTTCATAAAATTGGTGGCCCAATAACGTTAACATGAAATATTTTCGATGAAAGCCTCCTCCATTTCTTCTTCCTCTTCAATGAATTTTAGGGTTTCAATCGCTTCGGTGTCCTCTGAAATAGAAAGTGACCCTTTCAGTTTCCATGGAGCAGTGAACCTTTCATCTCAAATACATTCATCGCCTTCACAGATTATAACAAAACCGCCGTCCACCAAACCAACTAGACCACCACGAAGAACTGCCATCCTCCGGTAGCTGTGACTAAACTTCAACTGCGCTCTTGACAAGGCTATAATCCTCCTTTCGGGCACACAGTAAACCCACTGCTCTAAAACCTTTGAAGCTCATCTTCCAATATCTGACGAGTCTTCTCCGCCGTTCTCGAGGCAAATCAATCACGACACTCTCCCTTTCTTTATCTATAAAAGGGCAAGCCTTCGTACCCGTGAAATCATCCACGTAATCATTATAAGCTCTCTCTTTATCTCTCAGTGGTTTAATTTTCCTTCTTCTAACGGCATGATATATTTCATGGATCAATTATGTTTGTAATAAAATTCTAATCTCATTTTCCTAGATTTTCTTCCATGCTTTGACGAACGGGGCTCTCAGTCCTAAACAATGAATGGATTCGATTTCTCTTTTCGTGCCACTAACTATCACATGAAACATTTGATAATCTAAAAATTGCGGTAATCTCTCTTCTTCTGTTTGGATTATTGGATTTGATGTTTTGTCATAAGCATGTTGAGAGCCCTTTTTGGTTTCTATAATCTGTAGGTTCTGCTTTTATAGCGTGTGACCTGATATGCACGTATCAACAATCCTGAGAAACCTATTACGATCAAAGTGATGGACTTGTGACTTTGAAACCAAACGAAGATCAAGAATAAGCCTCCTCTGAAGTCCTTCCCATTAATTTAACGGCCTTGCCAATGTTTGTTCTCTATGAGAATGAGATGATATAATATATCTAATCAATGGTTTAGTGTGTTTGCTTTCAATTTTTTTTCCATTTCCTAACATCACAAGATATCTACAAACTTAACTTTCAGGTATGGCAAATTCTCATATCCACTTTTCTGATTTTTAGGCTGGCCACTGTAGACAGTTTGTGCTGACCCATCTCTTCGCTTATGGGGGGCTTGCAACGTGATAAAGGAGGCAAGCTTATAGGTTTTGCTTGACGTGAAGGTTCTCTTCTTTAACCTTAAAACCTTGCCACTCCAAGTTGTCGAATGCTCTGGTCTGCATTCGATTCAACACAAACACTAAATTTACGGTCATGTATCCAACATTTACCATCCAGCTGAGAAGGTCCGGTTTCGAAAGTATGAACAGCTACTGGCTCTGGCTAACGCTGACGTTGATTTGCCGGGTTTGTTTCTCAACTAATAACGTCCCAACAGACCTTTTTAAAAATCATATTAATATATCATGTTTACTCAACTTATGTTAACTAATGTTTTTTGCAGATGTTTCTGGATAGATGTTGTTTAATAACCAAAGATGTCAAAGAGTCACATAGGCGTAGGGGCACCAACAAAAACCAATCCGGGGAACCACAACGCATCACCTCGGAGAAGGAGGGTGCGTCCAGACTTACCTTCATGCTCTAAATAAGTCGTTAAAGCTCATATACAACAATCAGGAACCAAGAGGAGCCCTTCCTAGAGACACAGAGACCAGGAAGACCCAAAAGCGAAGCATCAACGGATATCTCTTGAGAGAATTTGTTCAGGTGTGTTAGATGCACGAACATGTTTCTCAAAAGTTTTTACATAAAAGTATAGAAAGGGAAAACGGAATTTCGTTTGAATGCAGGTGGCTTACTTTGCTTTTCCATTCTTGACGCTTACGAGTAGGCTTTTGGCACGAGTATGGGCACAATATATTTGTTTGGCAAGGTGAGTCTGTTTGGATCTTCTGCTGACATGTTAATGTAGCGAACTGATTCTGATGTCCTATGTCTACAATTCATTTTAAGATGAAAAATACGTACAAGATTTGCTGTGTGTTAGTTAAAAATATCCCAAGATGTGTTTCTGCTATTCCCAATGATTTTATACGTCCTTTCCATTTCTATGAACTAATCACGCTCGAGCAATAGATAAAAGACTCGAAACTTTCTCATTAAATCTTTCGAGAAGTTACATGTGATTTTGACTACCTGTGTTACATTTTAGGAAGAATCACAACTCTTTGATTTATATTTATTATTTTTGGCATTGCTTCTTATTTTATGCTTTAAGCTTAGTTAACAAAGCTTACGTTTTACCAGAGAAGTAGCTGGTAAGAATGAGTGTAGAATTGGAAGTCTTTTGAATAGATTGGTGACAGTAAGAAATTTTGAGTGTAGAAACTAGCTTGAGTGGTTAAGTTCCCTGAATTCAATGACTGTTGTATATCATTTTGTCTACTATTTTGTTCACTCTATACAAATTATCCTCTGAATAAATAGTTTATATAGTGAGTTGTTGGTGATCTCTTTACAAAACAAATCTACGGATTGGTGAAGAAAGCTAGAGCGTTGTGGATGAAACTTAGGCATCTATGAGAGGAACCTGCTAAAAGCCATCTACGATCGTCTGCACGCAAGGCATCTTTAACATTTACAAATTTTTTTTAAAAAAACAGTGATGTATATTTTGATTATACTTCAAGCGTGCATTATGAGAACCACCCTAAGCGTAATAAATTTCTACACATACGAGATAAAGCTTTGTCATGATCTCAGTCACAGATCTAACATAATCAACTGTCGCAATAGTTTCATAAATAAAGCACTAAAAGTCTAAAAGGGGGACGTTAAGTAACTAGGAGTTGGTTACCAATCATTTTAATAAGTCTAATCCAGTTTAGCAATAAGATTCCCATAACCCATATTGGAAGTATAATCAGAATGTCTAAAACGTTCCTGCTTTTTTCACGACATAACATTTGAAGCATATGTAACCATTCAAACAATTAAAATAATAGATAGTCACCAATTAGTCAAATTGGATGACCATAACATCTTAAACAGGACGACTATGCACATAAAATATATGGTTCGAGATATAGTTCCAAACAAACAATTTATCCACAACTTTAAACCCACCAAAATTATCATCTCACACACAATAAAAACAACATCTAAAATAACACCATCGCCAACATCGTTTTACAGAGAGGCTTTCACACAACCCGTATGTTATCTGACTCCTTTATAAACCATTTTCACAATTATTTAAACTTTACTAATTACCACACTTACTGGTATATATTTTGTAAAACAAAAAAAAACTTCAAAGGCTATAATTAAAATACTTAGAGCATGATTATCCCTAGCACCCCACTTGGGGGTGCTTATTTTTTTATTTTTATTTTTTACTTTTTTTTTTGGGGTTCGATTTAGAAAAAAAAAAAAAAATTAATAAACAACGAATCGCGGGCCGCCACGTGTCGGTGGGGCCCGCGAACAGTACAAACAACACACAAAACACGGCGCTTGTATAGCAGCCAGAAGCACCCGATTTTTGTGTTTCGCGTGGACCCCATCGCCTAAGCACTCTTCTAGCGCCTGGGATAATAATGGCCTTAAGTTAAAAAAATACCACATCGAACAAACAACATCATCTAAACTATTACGCCAACACAAAACACACACAATACCAACAGTAAAAAAACTACACCAGTTCTTCACTGAACTCTATTACAATACAAATCTTAGGAAAACAATGACCACATACCACAGCCAAACTAAAATTCATAAACAATACATCGCATCGACTTATTGTGATATGGCAATAACAATGTTTATGACCCTGCGCTTGCGCGGGGCTACACTCCTAAAACACCTCTAACTTAATATACAATTTAGTAAACATAGAACACAAATGGATATACAAGACTTATTATAAACACTAAAAGCATTGATCATAACTATATAAATGATTTAAAAAAAAATATTTTAGATAAGATAAAGTTATACTTGAATTGTACACAAAATTTATTTATAGAATTCAGAATATTAATCTTTTAAGTTAAAGAATTAGAATATAATCTTCAAATCAAATTTTCAGAAAACCGACTAAATTTAATAAGATTACTAAAATTTTAAAAATAAACTAACATATATCTTTTACGCACCAACATTCTTAAAAACCTTAAATACTATAATACATTTCTTTTGTAAAAGTTCATAGAACACAATAAAATACAATTTTATAGTTTTGACATCATATATAATTTATATTCCGCGCGTAGCGCGGACCAGCCCTAGTTTTAAAATAAAATTGAGTTACTAGTTTTATAATTTTACTTTTCAGAACTAGTTGTAAGCAAAACTAAATTCAGAAATTCATTGTACTTCACATAGAAAGTCATAAAACAAAACATGCATAATAAAGTCATTACAAACACGTCACATAAACCAAATGATTAGAGACAGTTCATAAACGCCCATTAATTAAACAACAATTCGTAGAACGTAGAGAGATAGTTTGTGACCGCATAACGATCATCAGAGCGCAAACGGCCAGGAACTCACGGCAGACCCGCCACCGTACATTGCGAACAACTGATGAGAAGGAGGTGTAAACACCGTCGGAGGCAGAGAAGGTAGATTCGGTAAAAACGCTGCGTCGATGCTGAACTGTCCAGAAGATCCCAAATCCATAAACTGACCATATGCCACGTCATCACCAATGCAGCGAGGCTGACGTGGCAGAGACGGCGGTGGAGCGGGAAGGTAACTAGAAGGAAAACTCGCATCAGCGTGAGCTGCAGAGGTATTGGAGAAACAGGACACGTGCTCCGACGCAAAGGCGTCGATGATCGGAGCAATTAAAGAACCAGCGGAGGAGGAGGAGCAGTTAACACCGCCGGCGACGGGAACGGCAGAAGAAGAAGGGATAAGCTTTGTCTCTCTACCGACAACACTGCTTTTCAGACATACTTTAGAGAGAACCCATTCATCCTGTGTAAGAACAAAACAGGAAGACAGTTTTTTTGTTGAGATGTTAAAATAAAGACATATCTTGAACCCATTCATTAATTTTTTTTTTAAGAGAATTTAAAAAGTAATGGAATCATATTGATATGTTACGAGATTACCTTAGCGGAGGAAGTAATGTAATGGTAAGAGAATTTGCCGTCGAGACGATACTCATGCATGACCCAACAGCTTTTTTCACCTTTAGGAGCTCTGCCTTTGTAAAAGACAAGAGTCTTCTTCATCCCAAGAAGTGAGTTTGTCTTTGAGCTTTTGATCTCTCTGTCTTTACCAGTAGCTTTCCAGTAACCAGCTTCTGTTGCTCTGTTCGTCCTTAGTCCCGTTGGGTACTTACGGTCTCTTAGTGTGAAGAAGTACCACTCTTTCTCCCCCATCTTCGCTTTCTCTGCTCATATGTGAAAAGAAAATATCAATGCAAGTAATACTATGTTTTTTAAAACAGAGAAACAAAGACTGGTGATGACCATGTAGTTTTTGTTTATATTGGGCTAATTAAATGTTAGATTTTTTAACAATGGTCAAGGTTATTATAGTTATTGATCTGAAAACTCTTCCTCGTATACATATATGACATTTAAATTGATAAGAGAATAGTTAAGCTTAGGAGGATAAAGTAATGGTTTTCAAGGTTTAAGACACAACTCTAGAGATGGGTTTAACTCTTATAAGATTGACATAGCAATAACAATGTCTTCAATCAAAAAGACCCTATTTCCTGGTATATATAAATTCTAAACTAGGGAGGTTCAAGGAATTTATTTATTTTTTTGTTCAGTGTTCTTAAGTCTAAAGGTATGTAAAAACAGAGTAAAATCTAAAACTTTGAGCCTATACCGATGGTTTACGACATTAAACAAGAGTTTAGTTGAGTTAAGTGGGGCTTACCAGGAAGCTCCCAAGGCTCAGACTTGTTGAGATCAACTTCAGATATAGCGGCACAGGAGAAATTGGAGTCAAGGACTTTCTTGAGGAGGTAGTAAGTGATGAGCTCTTCATCAGTAGGATGAAACCTAAACCCAGGTGGCATTATTGTTTCATCTTCAAATCTTGATCTCTCCCAACCATTAAACACATCCATATCCATTGTTGGGGTGCAAACACACGAAGAGGAGGAAGCTCTAAAAACAAACAAAACCCTAGATTTTCCCAATGTTTAAAAGACAAAGAAATGGGAAAAAAATAAATAAAAAGGGTACTTTTTTTAATGATCTGTGTTTCTCTTGTTCTACAAGCAACTGATGTGATATTTGACTGTAGCTAGTGATAGACAGAGTTTGATGTTGATGTGTACAATACACCACACAAAACGAATATATACATTAATTATTAATTAATTCCGCTAAATTGTAATAGAATCTATGATAAGTATAAATTATAATTGTCTATTGAGGTTTGTCAAAAAAGAAAAAAGAAAATTTATCTATTGAGCATGCAATGTGTGCGTGACTGGAAATCTCAGGGGATTCTACGTCAGCAATATAACTTTACTAGCCAATAGATAATCTGTCTTTATTAAGTTAACTTTTACTAGCCACTAGATTATTGGATACTAGTTGGATCTGTTGTCCGAGCTTTCACCATGTATAAGATTCTATACGCATTAATGTCTTGAAGACAAAAACTTTATTACAAAAAAAAAAGAAAAAACACATAAAAGAAAGTAAGAGCATGGATGCATCAAATCGTGAGAAGAAATCACATCCATCCATCAATATCTGTCACAAGGAAACGTCGCACATATACAAAGATGGAGTCACAGGCTTTACATCAAATCATATTCCCATGCACTCTTCATTTTTTTTCTCCCCTATCCTACTGTTTTTCACCTCTATGCTATCCCACAAATAACTCTACACAGTTTTAGGTGGACACGTTACACTGATAAGGAGAAATTAACACATGGTTTTCATTATTGTAGATATCACGTTTCAATTATTTAGCAAGAGAAATTAAAAGAAGAGATCATTGTTAATCAACCACTGATTCTGTTTTAGGGAGGAAAGAAAAGAGATTTAATTGAAAGTTATAAATTATATTGATGCTCCCAAAAAAACAAATGATGCTAACAAATTGATAATTGTGGATTTGTTGCAGATGAGAACAGAGATCGAGAAAAGTCGAGTGACGTTATGTTATCTGTGGTGGAGGAGCGAATCATCTCCGCCGCCCTCAGGCCTCACCCCTACGGTGTGTTTTTTCGAGTCTACGGCAAAACTGGGACCCACCAATATTTTGGCATTTTCTCGTTCGGACATGTTAGGAAAGAGGATCAAACTCGTTGAGTTCAAACTTGTCATAATTAGGTCGGATACACACGTTACCAATAAAGAAACCACTAAATTTAAACCACACAAAATCAAACGGGGTTCACTTTAAACACGAATCAAACCGGGTTGATGATTAGTCCAATCCATTGTATACAAAAACAAACACCTTTGGGTTCCTCTATTCACAACAAACAATAATTTCAGACTTTTCACAGAAATTGTATATATATAATATATATAAATATCAATTTTGATCCAAACCGGTTTACAGACCGAGGATGGTTAGTGGTTACATTGGTACAACTCGAATAAAACAAAACCGGGAATGGTAACAAATCCAATTTAAGAGACTTTCTTTAATCAGTTTTGGGGGATGACATCAGAGAGAGCGAAGTCATGGAACGGTGGACCTGCAAGAAATGATGACAGAACTTTAGATCTCTTGCAAGTTGCAACCACACACAACCTTCTATCTAGTTATATCAATCAAAAATGTTAAAGGAGATGAGAAGTAACCTCCTTGTTCACTTAGAATGTGAAATGGAATGTGTGCAACCATTTTTTGCCCACCCTCACTCCAGTTAACAGTGCCAGGAAACCGTTTTTCTGAAACCCGTGAAGGTCCTAACACAGACCAACAGATTCCTGGTTCGTTCATTAGTCCCAAGTAATCATGTGCTCGTCTCCAAACCCTTGCATCAGCTATCCTAGACCGAACCACCTACACACATGTACAAAGTGATCATTGGAGTGTCTTTTTAGTGGATTCAGATATGTCTCCGTGTACCTTCCCCAAGGCAACACGTGCTCTTGGCAACAGTTCTCGGTGATAAGTTGCGAGCTTTGCGATAGCTGTCACTACAAAACACAACAGCCTTGACTGTGTTGTTCTTCTGGAAGCATTTCCAGATTCTTGCCTCAGACCTAGGCGGCTTGATGAGAGATTCTCATAGAGAAGCAACTCTAAGCTTTCAAAGAGCTCTCGAGCAGCTTCCTTGTGTGATTCTCCCCCACCACCATACTCTCCAATTGCCCAACATAGCTGTAAAGCTAACTCTCTCTATGGAATAAAAAAAATGTTTAGACAAGATATTCTTTTTGCCCAAAAAAAAGACAAGATATTCTTTTACAAAGCATCGGTTGAAATATCAGACACTAACCTTAGCAGGGTCATCGTAAGCTTCTCCAAGCCTGTCAATTATAGGCTTCTGCATTATGTAACGAGTTTCAGCGCATTAAAACTCAAGAAGATAAACAGTAATCAAAATAATATGTAAGCCATGGAGATATATAAAACGTTTATATCATTATCAACCAATGCAGCCTGATATCTTCTTATTCCAAATCCTAATAATGCTAATACTAGCATAAACCAAAAATTAACGAGATGGAACGAAGACATTACTTTCAAAAGCGCAATGAAATTTGGAGACCTCTGAAATGCAGCCAGCACAAACTCTAGTAGTCTTCTACGGATCTGTATATACATACCATATCTGTGTAAGATAAGGTTCAAAGTGGTAGCAAAACAGGTTCATACACTAAAAGGTCAAAATAGCCTTGGCATTTCTGAAGAACTATTGAATATCAATGGTTTTTCCACTCAGATTCAGAGGTGAGTAAAGAAAAAATTAGACATTGTCAATTAGCATGTCTAAATGCTAAAGATAATCATATAAAACAATACAAAAGATTTGTTGATACCTCATGTGAAAAATTCTTATCCGGAAACATTGTAGAGTTCCTTGTCATGAGTAGAGGTATTAATGCACAGATCAGAGCTGGAAAAAAAAGATAAAGCATTAAGATAGAAAAACAAGCATGAACAGACTCAGTAATTGAGTTATCCTCCTTCGAAAACTAAAGGAACACTACTGTAAATAGTCTTACAGTCATTAGCATCTCTCAACGTAACACTAAAGTAGACATCAAGCAGCCGAGGAGCAATCTTAAGTGTCTGCTTCATCCTCTCTGACCTAGGACCACTTGCAGCAGCCTGCAGCGCTGCGTTTAATGCAGGAGAAGCGCGGTGTCTTTCCTGCAGTACAAAGTTGACTAAAGACTTTCAGTTTGTCACATAGCCCCTAAAGTTTATCTACTGTGCAACATTTATATGAAACATTCTTCTCTTGGGACATCTGAATATTGTTAAAACTGAGGCAAGAGGCATACAGCTAGACCATCATTTTCGTCCTTGAGAAGCTCCAGGAACAGAGGATCAGCTACGTCTATTGTATTGTTATCTTCAGACTCTGAGTCATCCCCTCCATCTCCGATGGTAGAACCAGTATAGGCCTCATCCATGAGGGCAAGAAGCATCTGTATTCATAAGGATCCGTGTCATTGTATTGACTATCTGAGAACAGTCTACCAAGTAAATGTTTTTATAAAATATATGACCTCCGGAGCTGCACTTTTCTGGATTGAAGCAATGCTACCTCCGACCCTTGACCCTGACCCCGAGCTCCTTTCCACTTTTTCTAGTGCCACAACCAGAACTAGCAAAACATTAACAGGAAAATACCTAATTAGACGAAGACATAAGTTCAAGCATCAGACGCAGATACACTACACAGGCTCAAAACCATGAAAATTATCACACCAGCAGCTTGTGATTCACCTAACTGGCATCTAAACCATAGTACAAATAATATATGAACTCGAGTAGGATTCTTCAGAGAGGCGGACTCACTTGGCAAGTCTAGAATGGATGGAAAGAGAGGAAGAAATGAGCCAGGTGATATCAGTCCTGGAAATATCTTTAGGAAGGACTTCTCCAACCTGAAATAAGAAGCATGGAATTAAAATTCCTTGAGGTGATTGACTTAGATAACTAATGAATAAAAAAAAAAGAATCAAAAATGATTTGGCTTACTTCTCCCAATTCCAGGCAATGAGCTTAAGCAACAACGGGAAAAACTGCACACAAAATTGCTTGTATTAGATCGAGAAGATGACATTCATTCTCAAGCAGTTAAAATGTAAACGGAACTAAGGCAGTTTGTGAACCTGAGGGAGTAAGTTAGGGAAAGACGCCAAGAGTTTTCTCTTGTTCACGATAAGAAACTCACAAGTTGCCTCTGCAACAGCAGCATCCGAGAACTCACTACAAGAAAGAGCAAATGTACTTGATAAACACCCACAAAATCACCTACATGTATGAGCCCTAGTTGAAACACAAGAAAATTACATACCGGCTAAGACACGAACGGAAGAAACTCCTCAAACTCGGGTCAGCATCATGCAAAACCATATCCCCAAAATCAAGAAAAAACTGAAGAATAGCCTAAATCACACACACACAAAAAAACAAAGGATGATCCTTTAAACAAAAGCATTCATATGGGTGTGTAGATATTATCAAGGAGAGTAGTAACATACTAGCAAGAGAAGACCTTTGGAAGTCCCTGACTCAGACTGAGACAATGAAGCAACAGAGCGTTGGAAGACCTTATTGATTTGTGGGTAAATTCTAGCCACCAGATCATCTGAATTCTCCAATTTACAAAACCCATGTAGCTTCTTAACCTAATTTATCCATATACATTCACACAAATCACAAAAGATGATTCCTTTGTATAGAGAGAGATATGTAACTGTAAGATGATGCTTACTGATTGTAGCACAGATGGATCAGAAGCAGGATCCGTGGAATCACGCGCGCTGTTGCTTAGGATCCTGAGATGATAATTCCAGTCTCCGTCTTGATCAGTCATGGTTTTACACCACCGAGAATGCTCGCTCAGCCGAAAGAGAAGAAAAAAAATGATGGACGAAGAAGAAGATGGAACAGAGGACTGAACGGAAGACGCGTCGTTTTGGATTTGTATCATTAGAATGCATGA